CAAGAGTAGGACGAAAAATCGTCCTCGAACCCTGCACTATTTATATTTAAATTTTAACTTTGAAATCTGGTGAGAAATATAATACATATATGTATGTACATATATATTTTATTTACGAAGAACTCAAATCACACAATGTTTTGTAATATATATATATACATATATCGACACCTCCTACGTATAATATCGTAACTCTATTTTATCAACTTTACAGTATCGCAATTCAAAGTTATGCAAGCAGATTTTTGATGATAGTGAAGTCAAATCAGCTCATTTAAGAATCAAAATTGGCATACAGATATATTTTTAGGAACGGAATATTACTTCTAAAAAGGTTTTTTGAATTTTTTAATAGAATTTCTTAAAAGTCACATACGATTTTCTACTACGGAAAATATCAATGGTATTTCGTTGTATGTAGTACTTACTACACTTTACGTTGATATATATGTAGGATTAAGTAGGGTATGTTACACGTACGATAACTTACATTGGAACTAATCAAATAATAATGTGTCTTGGGTTACAGTTACCATAATATACAATACAACAAAGACGTTCATAGCATAAGTGCTATTAAGAGGAATAATTAAAATAAAATAATTATCTTCCATTATACTGAAATATAATGTATTTCGCAATCAAAACAGTCCAAATAAACAATCCCTCTAAGAAAATAATCTTAAAATATTAATCAATGGTATTGTTGTTTATTTTAATAGTATGCAGTATTAAGAACATGAAATAAAATCTTCATATTATTGTAAAGATTGTATTTATTGTTTTATTAATTTACAGATAGTCTGAATCAATTTGCTTTATCCAAAAAAAAAAAAACACGTATTATTTAAAAAATGCAATGAAATACTTATATCTGAAATTTAAAATCAACTAAATAAAATCTCTCTCAAATTTAAAATATAATACATATTATGAATTCTCTATTCAACCCTGCACTCCTTATCAACTAAATAAAAATATCTTTTACTAACAAGAAAAAATATTTATTCATTACTTGAATATTCGTAAAAAATTTAATCAGTATTGTGCAGTCTCTAAAATCACATAGATTAAAATTTTCAGTACAAAAAATAAAAAGAAATTAACAAAAACTATGTAATATGTATTAAAAAAACTTACATTAATTATTAAAAAAATTGTCTGTATCTAAATCCGGAAAACTGTCGTTACCAGTATCTGGTAGGCTTTGGACAAAATCATAATGAGCGCTGGGTATGATTTGAGATTTGCACATGCTCATCAAATCATCTTTTTTCCCCTGAGGTATCATCGCAACCTATTGGCATACAGTACATTAATAATGATTACACATTGTCTCCTGGTAGACGCTTTTATACATAAAGTATGGTAATCTTCGGCAGCTAAATCATATTTATATAATAATTTATAAGGATCTTCAGGTTTTAAACACCTCTCTTATTTTATTCCATTGAACTATTTCTCCATTAGTACTTTTAACCCCATTGCCCTTTAATAAAGTTTTGTAATTAAAAAAATCGGTGTGTTGTAATTCTTCTACAATTTAAGGCTTTCCTTTTTGCTTAGCCCAGCGTACTAAATAAAAACACTCAAATGGTGTATAAGCAAGTTTATTCTTGGCACATTTTTCTATTAAGGTGTGAACGCTATCGCCCTCATTTTGGTTATGACCAACATCTAAAAAACAATGATGTATTGTTACTTTAAAAATAAAAGCGGCAACTTGTCACATTGGTACTTCTCTGGCATATAAAAACTAATCTTAAAGTATGCATTAACGATGTCGGGATATTGCTGTGCAGAACTAGCTTTTGAAGAGTATGTTAGTGTATTAAATCACTCATTATACAACTCAAACAATCGATGGAAATTTAGATCTGCGTCTAGGTAATTTTTACTACTTCCTTGGCGAGAGTAATGAGACTGACTCTACAGGCTGAAGAGATTTTATGTGATCGCATATACTTCTGATAACATCCCTAGTTATTACTTTGCGATGATTAGTATGACGCCCTCGCAGATCCGCTTCTATCAAGCTACTTACCTTACCTTTTTTTCTGAAGGCTTATTGACAAATTGCTTACTTAATGGATATGTGTTTAGAAACATCTTCTGGTACACAGTTAAATAGTTTTCCTGGTCGTCTAAAACAGCCCTTGGGAATCTATAAATCAAAGTAAACCTACGCCTAGATTCCATGTCAGTGAAAATCCTTAGTTTTTTTGTTTGATAACCAAGTTTTCAAAGAAACCTGCTGCTACTAAACTGCTTTTCACAGTTTCCTAAATCTTAAAATCTATTGAAAATCAATATTCTGTCATCATCACTTATTTTCGTTGAACATTTTAGTCTTTTTTTTTTATTGCCCTTGTAGGCAGACGAGCATACGGCCCACCTGATGGTGAGTGGTTACCGTCGCCCATGGACTTCAGCAATGCCAGGGGCAGAGCCAAGCCGCTGCCTACCGCTACCGTCTGCAGTACGTATGACATTCCGATTTGAGCAACCGACGCGCGTGGACGTGCTCATTGTTCGTTCGATTGCCCGACCTCGGTTCGTGGCACATCTGGCGTCCAAGTGTTTTGTCGGAAGTGACTACCGGTGATAATAGATTATTGTTCGTGGCACATCTGTGGCCCAAGTGTTTCTCGGAATTTGTACCTGCGCCTAATTGCAAGGCATTGCCGCCCGGGAANTCGCGATTCCGATCCGGTAGTAGATTCATTCGCGAAACAATTGCTCTTGAGTTGTTAGGTCTCCTTCGGAGGCGCTCGGGCAGTTGTTAGCAAATCCCGCCCCTCTTGGCTGAGCCTTTGCTCGCCCACCTGTCCTGGTGAAACTGGAAAGGCCTTCGGGCCACCAGTAAACTTTCAATCATAAAAAAAAAAAAAAAGTACGTATGACACTTAGGACCCAAAATAGGACAAATCCATCAATTGGTTTATCTCATCAATATTTGCGTCAAAAAGGGGTGGTAACTCTGTAAAAGAAAAACAAAAATATCTTTTTATTGAGATTTTTTGAAAAGAATACTATAGTAAGTTATGCTTCATATCGAAGTACAATATCTTAAGTGTGACATAGGATAAAAAAAGTATAGGAAATTCCAATGTAAAATATCGTAAGAACAGATACGGGACTCGTTTATATTTTTTTCAATAGTAAAGTATCGTAAGTATTTACTTACGATATTTGAGAAGGGTCAAACTTCAACGTATAGTATAGTATATATATACTTACGATATTTTACTGTGGGTATTATACTATTTCATATTATTATATTTTAAATAAATCATAAAATCATTATTAATATTGTACAACATATAAATTACCTTGTACCCTCGTAGCACCCTCCACAAAAGGGTTGGATGTACACACATCATCACTGTAAGTTGAATTATTAGCGTTTACCGGTTATTGCCAATCAAACGTATCACATTGTTTTACCGGTTTAATTACTGCATCAATCATTCGTTTTGACCTAGATGACATAGTTGATAGTTAATCTTATACTTACTGTCCATTAAATAATATAAATCAGTACATTTTTTTAAAAATATGATATTAGCCGCGCTCGTGCTCATCTCCAGCGTACACAATCGGTACTACTACTTACCATTCCTTCGCGCGGCTAAACGATCACTCGCCTCCCGCGTACAGCACATTAACTGCACTATACGATATATTACTACGGTAAATATGAACATACGACAATATACACTCTTAATATCTTTGGTTCTATTGCAAATAATATTTTTTTTATTAGATGAAACGATAAACGATGTTATAAAGTATTTGAAAATCTAAAAATGTCATTTTCGTAAATTTGTTGGTTACGATAATATACGTAGGAGGTGTCGATATTTTTTAATATCTCTCATTCAAGATCCTCAAGTTATTTTTTTTCTCTGTACTACGAGTGCTATATACGCCATACAAGATCAAGCACACCTAGACTGCGAATACAAAATGTCATCACTTTCAGAAAGACACTAAATTCGAACGAATGTCCGGAAAATATTTGAGAATAAAAAAATCCAAGTTATACATAAAATTCGTATTGAAATGTAATAACGCTCTAGAGGCAATTTATTCATTGACAGGCGTCAATTTCGTCTGTTACATATGAAGAGACACTGTGTACATACGTGACAGTTGCCTTTTGAAAATTGGAAGATTGTGAAGTTATTGAAAGTTTACAAGCAAAACGTTTCCATTATATCGAGAGGTGAAGGGCTTTTGGTTTTAGCAACATTTTAACATGATACCGGCATCTCGTTTTTACCATCGCACCGCCCGCCACCGGAGTAGAGTTCATCCATACTACCTGGAGCCACTGCGATCATCCACAGTGCGTTTCCAGAGGTCTTTTTTGCCACGTACCATCCGGCTATGGAATGAGCTCCCCTCCACGGTGTTTCCCGAGCGCTATGACATGTCCTTCTTCAAACGAGGCTTGTGGAGAGTATNCGGAGTAGAGTTCATCCATACTACCTGGAGCCACTGCGATCATCCACAGTGCGTTTCCAGAGGTCTTTTTTGCCACGTACCATCCGGCTATGGAATGAGCTCCCCTCCACGGTGTTTCCCGAGCGCTATGACATGTCCTTCTTCAAACGAGGCTTGTGGAGAGTATTAAGCGGTAGGCAGCGGCTTGGCTCTGCCCCTGACATTGCTGTAGTCCATGGGCGACGGTAACCACTCACCATCAGGTGGGCCGTATGCTCGTATGCCTACAAAGGCAATAAAAAAAAACAAAGCAAAAAACTTTTTCAGTACTTTGAATGGAGTAAACTTAATTGAAGTTTAATTAAAAACATCTAATTGTTGATGTTAACAGCTAATAAAACCCACCTTTAATCACAAGGATAAATGTCGCATAAGCCAATTAGCCTTTTACCCCCCATATATACAGCACAGAATTATACAATAACACGTTCTTAAATAAGTGTTTATGTTTATTGGAAGAATAAAATATTATTATTACCTTTTCGTAACAGATTCAGACTTTACTTCCGCCTAGTTTTATGCTGGTGTTGGAAATCAGAATCGGCGACCCCAAATGATTTGAAAAAGCTCGAGGTTAAATCTTATTCTGGTGAGTACCTTTATATGTTGTACAACAGGTTTTTTCAATTACGTGTTGAAATATATTGCATATCTCCAAGCAATTAACAATTTAATAAGCCATTAGGATCTGTTAGCGTAAGCTTTTAACTGTGGTAGCTGTAAACAGTAGTAGCTGGATCAGCTTAGGGTTTTGATATCGAACGAAAGAAATATAATGGGTGTTGAGATTAAATTAAATCGACAATTTTTATTTTTCAGGGTTTTATAAAATAAGCTTACTAATTTCAGTATTTTTATGACCATAATTTTTAGGGGTAACCAAAAAGAAATTTCTTTAAAAATCTATACTAACAATCATTTTTATACTAACAATCACGCCACGTTAACTGGTCCCGTGATAAGTTCGTAAAGAACTTGTGTTACAGGTACCAGATAACGGAAATAAATGTAATATTTTTATTATACACATACACATATTTAATATACATCCATAACCCTGGAAAAGACATTTTATATTTATCATACAAATATCTTCCCTTGGCGGGATTCGAACCCGAAACCCCCTTGTGTAGTGACCATGTCACTTACCACTACACCAGACGGCCGTTAAAATGCACCCACATATTGCTTAATTTACTTTAAGATACAATTTAAGAGACAACAACTATTTCCAACACTCAAGAATACTAAGTACTTAAATAAATTCATTGCATCTAAACCGTCAAACAGAATTTTTGTACCACATATCAGATTAGATAAATGAATATTTGTTTCACTCGTCTCTAAGCACTTATCTTAAATGAGATAACCGCGTGGAGCAATGCGCACAAAGAGAACGATGCGAATCTAAACGGAATGTAAATTTGAAATCGTTTGGAAAGCGTACAAGCGAGAAATCGCTTCGTAGCGTATAACAGATAGCTTCTGAAATTGTTCGAATTATAATTCAAAGAAAATCGTATTCTTCTTGTTGTTTTTAGTATATTACTGTTTGTTGGGTAAATAATAAATGTGACAGTTTCCTAATGTATACTTTCAATCGCAATCTGAGTTCTTGTTTACAATATGGATATCATTTCAGTATTTTTTTTTATTCTAAGATATTAAGTATTCAGACTGTAAATAAATATTACAATTGTGCTGATTGATGAGCCAATTAAACTGGAAGGTTTTCACAGCATTCATAACACAATTTTGTTTTTATGATAATTAACAAGTCTAAATTCAAGAAAAGATAAAACCGCTTGTTTTTGCAGTTAGCCAAAAGCACTTTCGTGACGTATCTTCGTTCAGCCGAGCATGATATTCGAGAAGACGCAGCTACATGTCGCGATCCACATCCCAACACGGTACGTGACCAACAATAACTCACTGTATTTAAACTTCCTTCCATTCCATCAGAGTATGTTCAATGTTGGCTTAGGATCGTCAACCAAGTTCAAGGGATTTAGAAAACACTGTCGATCATTTAATACATTTAAATCATAGGATAATATTTGTGTGTGGTTGATTTAAAATCGTTCATAAAATATTTACTCGCTACTAAAGTTGTTGTGATTAAATACCCACCGCACAAACTCATTAAGCTGGATTTAAATTCTTTTATATTTACAAATTTGAGTATCGAATGTCAACCGTATTTGTAATTTATACAAAAACTTAATTTCAAGATTTAAATTAGAATTCTAAAATTGAAACATAACTATACAATTGGATCTTAAATGATTTCACTCGAATGTGTGCACAGTAAGTCTTCTGTTTTAATAATATTCTTAAATATTAATTAGTTTTTAGAACTCCCTCTTAGTCTGTATAAAAGGTTCGTTAAAATAATGCTACGCTAAGCGACTTTATTCATAATGCCTAATTGCTGAGTCGAAATAGACTTCTGAAGGAATTAACAACATTTTTATTTAGAGTTAATAAGATATTGTTCATTAACCGGTATCCATAAGATAATGGAACCGCTTAGTGGACCATCTTGAGGACCGAAACCCCCAAACATTCGCTCGATTAGTAACTGAAAATAGCTTTTAATGCGTAGATGATTACATTCTTTTGACAGTTACGAAAATAAGAATGATAGATTGCAGTCATTTATAATTTTCAGTGTTCCTTTTACCCGGTTATTAATTACAGTAAATGAAGAAAATAAAAATAATAAGTGAAGAGATACGAATTTCGCAAATGACACTTGGGCCTCGTTATGAAAATGACGTGTACTTTTTTAGAAATGCTCACAAAATCAGACATCTCATTGTGTAAGCACAATACGGACCCATTTATTGTGTGTTTAAAACTTGGTCATTTAATTTTGTAATTGCTTTACATTTTCTGAACATTGATGTCATTCACTGTTGTATTCAATCCAGCAACGAAATCTAAACTCAAGCTTAGAAACTATAGTCACTTAGATTTTAAACTTTGTTTGACTGACTGAGGTAGGTACTGTTTGGATCATTTCACATGTAATTAATACATCTCATTCTGTAAATTCAAATAACCATTTGAGAAATAGTGCAGATTTAAATAAAAATTAATCAATTACAAACACTTGTAGTAACCAGAACACTAGCACTACGTTAAAATGAATCTATATTTTAATAATGAATTGCTGTTCGTTAGTCAGTTAGTATTGCAGTAGGCAGCGGTTTGGCTCTGCTCTTGACATTGCTGAAGTCTATGGGCGACGATAGCCACTTACCATCAGGTGGGCTGTACGCTCGTCTGCCAACAAAGGAAAAAAAGTCTCGTTTTAGCGAAAGTTTTAAACTCGAGAATGGCTGGACCGATTTGGCTAATTTTGGTCTTGAATTATTTGTGGAAGTCCGGAGAAGGTTTAAAAGGTAGATAACTATAAAAATGCTCGGAAGTAAATAAAAATTACAATTTTGTTTTTCCTTTGAAGTGTCGGACGGTCCCCCGTCAGACGGATTTCTTTTGTTTGTTATAAGTTTATTTTATACAAAAGTTTAGGTCCTTTATTTATCGATTGAGGCATTACGAAATCTGCCGGGTCAGCTAGTACATTCTAAAAATGCGTTATTGGAGATAATAATCGGTAAAACACGAGCAACTGAGATTAGGATTGTCCAATTCATTACCTGACATGAATGAATGAATAAAATCCAAACTATATATGGATCCAAACATCATAACATGAATATATTATGTATGTATCTGTGACAGAGAAGAGATGAATGTATTAATACAAATAAATCTGATTAGGCAATCAAAAGCATAACTTCAAAAACCAATTCATGACATACATAAAAATGGTACATGATCCAACTCAATTTATGAAAATAACATGAGCTCATGAAACGAATGAGAAAATTGGTGGCGGCTATTAGCATTTTTAACGCAACACGTAACAATATTGAAAAACAGATTAAATTCAATCATTTTAATTGTCTTGAAAATTTTCAGAGACAAAATGTGTTAATGTGAAATATTCAGGACCATATAGTCTCGAATTATTGGAGACCTATCTACCTGATAACAGTTAATGAAATTATATGAATTGTAATTTAAGCTTTTAAAGTTAGGAATATCTCAATGACCTTCCTAAATCCCTGTAAACATTGTCTCTGAATCTTGTTCTTTTTATAGCTGAAATATAACAGTAGTGTCTAATAAACCAAACAGCGTTATCTTGTCTGTTTGAGTGGCTGCGGTAAGCCTTTTTATGACGGCACTGGATTAAGGTGTTTTTTCTCACCTATTACGTCAATAGAGAATTTACCAAAATTTTCACTTTCGTTCTGTTGACACATATTATTTACACTGCTAATAAGAAGATTTATAATTTACTAGCGGTCTCGCAGTAGTCGAAATTCGACTATAACTAATTGGAATTGTAAGTTTGTACACTATTATGATTGTATGTTATACTTCTATAATCACAAATTTCACCAAGACTACACTATAAAAAATATTAACAAAGACAAACAATATTTAATCTATTCTCAATTTGACAACAGACGTCAAGAACAAAAGTTTGACAATAAATAGTATGCATGCGTGTGTGCGTCAAATACATGGTATGTAGTGTGTGTAATGTTTTCTTTATTGATTTAATGTATCTTATGCATTATTTTTATAAAAAATATTAGCATTGTGCACTTCTTCTCTATATTCTCTATAAGTGTGGAAAATTTCATACTCCTCCGTTCGCGCAATTTTCGTAAAAAGGGATACAAAGTTTTTGCTGCACGTATTAATATATAGATTTTACGAGCGTAGTAATTTTACGGTCTCGTTTTACAAATAATTTATGCAACATAAAATTAATACATACTTGCTTTCCCGGATCAATGCGACAGCCATCCTTACGAGATTCGCCTTATTTTTTTCTTTGTGTAGATGGCTGAATGATTACATGGCCCATTGGTGTTCAATGGTTAACGTTGTTAGCGAATTCTGCCAACCGGGACATAAAGTTTAAATTCCAATTGTATTATACTGAGACCATTTCTCTCCCTTCCAAACTGGAATGCATAACTGAATCGTAAAAGAAATAGGTAAGAGCGTCACAACTACTCGTGCACGATTAATATGTTCCCTACCACTAAATACCAGTTGGCGATTGCAGTACGTTGCTCACAGGAACGAACGGAGTGGTGCTTTTATAGGTACAAATTCTTAATTTTACCAACGTACTAACCTTACATACCTTTGTTACATATGCAATTCATTACATTCGTGGATATTTGGATTTACTATTCGGGAATAGGCTTGCCAAATCAAACTTTTACTAGTAGACAATTTTCAAACATGGTGTAACTATTGATTTTCGGGTCAGTCGTAACGTATGATAACTTTTACTGCTTTGTTTGTTGACAGAAAATTCGAACGCGATAGAGCTCGTCACAAATGGAGCCCTGGCGATCAGGATAAATCCTCGTCTTGAGTAAGCTACAACAAACGGTTATCATGTATGTGACGATAAATTATAAGTGCACAATAAAATATTAAATATATGTAAATTTTGACAACACTTTTCGGCGAAACAAAAAACTCTACGACGGAGAGGAGAGAGGTTAGCTACCTCATTCATGTGAATCGGAACTCGCAGGAAGCGTTCTACATCACTACACAACCTAAATATTTTTGATCATAACAATATGTTGAAATATAATATATTGAGCACTCCGCTTTTGTTTACGATATTGTTACTGTTATTCTTTCGCTCTGTTTCGTAATATTGCTGGTATTAAATGTTTACTTACGTTGTACTACCGTAATGTTCAGTTCATTAATCTTTTTTCACATTCCAATTTAAGTCTGACGCGTATAAAAATATAAAAAGTTATTTCTATAATATAAACCAACCCTTTCAAAGTAGCTGTAAACTTAAATAATTAGTAAATCCTTAATAACTTAGATGATATAATATTGCTATATTCCAATGTTTCCGCTTACTGTTTAAAATGCGATTTTTTCACACTTTAGATACTAAATAATAGACTAAGTTTTAAGAGTTTAGACATTTCTAGACTATTTGAAATACCTACTAAAGATAATTATTTTTATATTAACTTATTAGTGGTGTATTTAAGATAGCATTTTAATTGATACTGAATGTTGACAAAATAGTGGTATTGAAATATTTTCTGTACGCAATGTAACAAACGCAATTAAAAATTACATACAAGTTCAAAGATCTCGAGGGAGCCCCTTCGGATTGTATTGCGGATTTATTAAATAATAAAATTACTAAAATAACGTACATAAATTAGTTTATAAATGTATAATATTTTCTGTTTGTATTGGACTAACTAGCTCAGTGATTCTCAACCTTTTTTTGTTGCGGCACATATTTAACGATTTCAAAATTTGGCGGCACACAAAAAAAACAGATAAAAATTATTTACTTACTCCAACACACTGCATAAATAGGTTATCAAAAAATTTTAATATACGAAATAAACTAAAATATACTATAATTTTTTTTTTGTGGATTTAATATATATGCATGTTTAAAATATTTTTCATTTAAAATTACATAATTTAATAATATTAACATTATTATATATTCGCAAAATTTGGCGGCACACTTTTCAAATTTGGCGGCACACAAAAGTGCCGTGGAACAGTGGTTGAGAATCGCTGAACTAGCTTATACAATTAGCTGTTCCAAGGACAGTTCCAATACAACCCGTGTGGTGATTCACCTGTAAATGTGTAATTTATATAGGTAGGTATGTAAATTGATAAAATTTCAATAAATATTGTTACTATTGATTTTCATTTTATTTTAATTCACAACGTCATTGGGTGAAAAGTAATGTTTTCAAATAC